TTTTTTTTTTGTGGCAGAACGATCTAACGCTGGGTCGACAATGAACGTTGATACGTTAAAATTAAACATTTTCCTCACCAGTCAACCATTTGCTCAGGAATTGGAACAAAATCAAGGACGAAATAAAAATATGGAACGAAGAATATGAGACGAAGTCATACATTTTTTTTTAATGAGATAATGTATGTTAATTTAGTATAAACCAAAGATAAAAAAAAAATATACATTTTAAGTTTAATTCTATAACCTTATAAATCAAGTTAACTTTTAACACTACTTATCTACATTCTCAAGTATTAGTAAAAACAACCATCGTAAAACTACATTATAGATGTGTATTAACAACCCCTAACACAATATCTCCAAGAACCATTCATAACAACGAAATTCAAACAAAGTCCTATGAACTTTACCCAACGTTGATACTAGAGCGACCAGATTCTATTCGTCACCATAGAGTTCAATGAGGGCCTAATTATTCAGGACTAGTTGAAACTACAAACCTAAACATATATATGGTTCGGGATATTAACAACATATTGAAAATCCAAGGTAAAAGCTAATTCAATACACCTACTTGATTTAGCAGCGGTAGGAAAACACACAATCGGTAAAGGCACAAGTAAGCCTAGATACTAGCAAGCCCACTATACTCATGGTATAGGGTATGCTAAAAAAAGGTAAGTAAGATAACTGCAATCCCAACTCATAGTAAAGGATATGCACAAAAGTCACTTCTACTAGCTATACACTTGGTAGAAGGAAAGATAAAAGAGATCCTAACTGTAATACCCAAACTGTACTATAGACGTGGTCCAATTCTTTATTCACGACAAGAACAGTAAAGGACAGATTTTCAGGACTCTATAATCAAGATATAGATAAGATATATATTCATAAGATATAGATAAGAAATAAACTTATCCAGGTAAAGGTAAAGATAACTAACTTAAGGTAAAGGTATGAGATAAACCAATTAAGGTAAAGGTACGAGATAAACTCAATTAAGGTAAAGATAAAGATACACTCAAGGTAAAGGTACGAGATAAACTCAGTCAAGGTACAAGATAAACTCCATTACAGGTATGAGATAAACTCCATAAAGGTAAAGATAAACTCAATTAAGATACAGATAAAGATAACTCACATCTACCAATCCATATCACTAGTAGAGAGACAGGTAAACAAACAGTATACAATAAGATATGTTAAAACTCAAATACGTTGAGAAGGTAATAACATAGGAGATAACAAACTAAGTTAAACAGACTTACTGCTGAATATCAGAATGATCCAATTCTAAGTGACACATTCTAATTTCAACCTAAGAGACACTCAAGGAACAACTAATATGTATTGATATATTTCTGAGCCAGGTGAGGGCACACATCCAGGGTGATCAATCCTGAACTCACGCTAAAACACCGACACAGTAAGTAAATATGAATGCATAAGCTTTATGGTCATGATCCACAAAACTATACAACACTCATAATGAAAATATTTGGAATGTTTTCCTAATTATCCCTGTAAATATCTATTCAACTCAGAACTCAAGATGGGGAAATTCCCATATATCCATCCTGTACTCCTATGATATGCAGTTGGACTTTTAAGAGAAAACAAACAACAAAATTAACAAGTCCATAAACTAAGATAATAACCAACATTAAGATAAGATTAAAAAAAAAAATAGAAGGCAAAATAGCACAACATCTTATGGGTTTTTGCCAGGTAAACAAAATAGATAAACAGATCTTAAGCAACCAAACTGGTACAGAAATGATAAGGGACCAGTTAATCTTCATCAGAAGATGAAGAATCCAAATTATCTGACAAGTTATGTGGGCCTACTGTCTTGTCCTCCAGTAAGTCTTTAATATGAAACCTTCCTAGTTTCCTACCAGTAGAAGTTTCCTTCAGCTCGTATATTAAAGGAGAAATAACTTTAATAACCGTACAAGGTATGTACTTCTGACATAACTTAGCAGATTGGAAGTTCAACTTATCAGACTTGACAAAGTTCCTCTTTAAAACAGAATCTCCAACTCTGAAAGATAAGGCTCGCTTTCTCAGGTCATACTGGCATTTATTTCTAGCATAAGATGCTTTCAACCGTTTGCGAACATCCACATAAATATCAGGAAGATGCTGAATATCTTCTAAACGGTGTAATTTATCTGATATAGTGGGAAAGTTATTGGCATTCTCTGAAATCTTACCAAAATAATCACCAGAAAGAGGGACATGACGACCAAACATCAAATAAGATGGAGGACATTTGGTTATTTCGTGAGAAGAAGTCCTGATCGCTTGTACTATAGAGTGGATATGAGTATCCCAAGCTCTCTGATCAGGAAAAGAATAAGATCGTAAAGCGGTCACGATTGATTTGTTCACTCTTTCGGTATGATTGACTTGTGGATGATAGTTCGCATTGTACCAGATCTTTTGGACATTGTATTTAGCCATGAGATCGCGGAAAGCCTTAGCTGTGAACTGGGGTCCATTATCGCATGAAACAATTTGTGGAACACCATAAATTAAGAAAACTTCATTCTCGAGGTATTTAATAATAGAAGAAGTAGTTGCCTTCGACATGGTATGGACCAAAGGAAATTTAGTAAAATAATCAACAACTACTAAAGCATATTGGGAACCTTTATAGGACCTAGGGTACGGACCAATGAGATCTAAAGATATCAGTTGAAATGGAAAATCAATCCGTCGATAACTACCCATTAAACCTGGTTGGGGAAGATTTGTCGGTTTGCATGTAGCACAGATTTTGCATTTTGCGATATAGCTACGTACAGTTTGACGCATCTTCGGCCAGTAATAGAGTTCCGATATACGACGGAAAGTTTTGTAAAAACCAAAATGAGCTGCAGTAGGATGGTCATGAAAAGTGGCCAAAACCTCTGCTCTATTAGGAGTTGGAACGACTATCTTCCAATCCGACATTCCAGTAAGGGCATCCATGGAACTTAAGACATGTTTATACAAAACACCATGTTCAACTTTAAAATCAGGAAATTTACCTGGTACATTCTGTACATCATACAACATTTTTCGATACCAGTCATCTGGTTGTAAGGAAGATAAGTCTAACAAATTAATATCGAAAGTTCTAGAGAGTGCATCAGCGACTACTACACCTGAAGCTTTACGATGAACAATTTTATAATCGTATTGTGCCAATTTTAAAATCCACCTAGCCAAACGAGGAGATGGGTTCTTCATACTTTGTAACCACACCAAACTACTATGGTCAGTTATGACCGTGAAAGAACGACCTTCAAGAAAATATCTAAAATGTTCAATACCCGTAATTATAGCTAACAACTCTTTTTCAGTTGTAGTATAATTTTTCTGGGCTTTATTTAATTTCTTGCTGGTGTAGGCTATAGGGTGTTCTTCTCCATCAACAATTTGATAGAGTACCCCACCAGATGCTGTGTTTGAGCAATCTGTCATCAGGTAAAAAGGCTTAGTAAAATCTGGGGCTACCATAACAGGAGAATTTGTGAGAGCCTCCTTGATTTTAATGAAAGCTTCATTAGCCTCAGGAGTCCACACAATATTTTGTCCCTTTTTCCGATTTTGAAGTAAATCTGTGATAGGAGACAACAAGGTAGAATAAGACTTGACAAATTTTTTATAATAACCCACCATTCCTAACAATCGACGGACCTGAGTGGTATTTTTAGGCACAGGAAAATCACGAATAGCTGATACCTTATCGGGATCAGTACGAAGACCCTGAGAATCTACAACATATCCTAAAAACTTAATAGACTCACGACAAAAGCTACTTTTATCTAAGTTAATAGTCAAATTTGCGTCTTTTAAACGCTGAAACAACTGCTGCAATACAGAGATATGAGTTTCGAAATCGGGAGTAATGACCAGAATGTCATCAAGATAGTATTGGCAAAATGGATCTAAAGCAGGACCAATTACCAAATCCATTAACCGACACATAGTCTGTGGAGCAGACACAAGACCAAAAGGCATTGTAGTGAATTGGTACAATCCTTTTCCATTGACCGCAAAGGCAGTGAGCTTTTTACTCTCTTCGCTGAGAGGAATCTGTAAAAACGCCTTCTTCAAGTCAATAGATGAAATGAATTTAGCATTCTGTAACTTACTCAGGATGATATCTATACGAGGTATAGGATACGCATCTCTGTTCATAGTTATACTGTTAAGTTTACGTCCGTCAAAACAGACACGAAAAGTCCCATCTTTCTTTTTTGTCAGCCACAAAGGACTACAAAAAGAAGAAGTACTGGGCTCAATAATACCTAACTTAAGCATTTCATCTACCTCCTTTACTAGGCTTTCATGCCAGGCTTGAGGCAAGGGATATTGATATTGCCTGAAGGGCTTGGACGAACCCACATCAATGTGATGTTCGATGAGATGAGTTCTACCCAACTTATTTTTCGAAGATATAGAAGAGAATGATTTGATGACATTATTTAACTTTTCTAATTCATGAGCATTAAGTCGACTCATATCTTTAACCGCATTGACACAAGAGATATTAAATGAAGAAACAGATAAGGAAAATTCAGGAAAATTTAACTCACTATTAAAAGTTTTCAGAAAATCCATACCTAGGATGACTGAATTCTTAACTGACGGAATAACAAAGAATGTAACCATTCTTTTACAAAAACTAACACAAATCTCAGTAGTGAATTGACCTAAAATTGGTTGAACTTGACCATCAGCTGTAGTCACTTGCAAACTTTGATCTATTCCTATATTTACATTGGAATTCTGGAGAAATTCCATACCGAGAGAACCTAAAATAGAGATATTGGAACCTGTGTCCAGTAAAGCTAAACAAGAATGTCCTAAGATAGATATTTCAAGATATGGACGATTATCCTTGTTTTTTCGAACCAACAATGAGTTTATATCTAAATCAACAAACGAAGACAAGGGATTACACGAAGAAACTACAGAAGAATTACGGTGCTCGTGCTCAACTAACGTTGTCCTCTCTTCGGTTGGTATTTGCCGTTCTGTGGTCTTTTGTCTTTCGGTGGAGGGTGAGATGTTTGGCTTGTGGAAGCTTGGGCATCCAGACTCGAGAAACTGGTTCCTTGGTTTTGAGGAGTTTGGACAGTGTTTGTATTCCCTGTATTTTGACGAGGAGTAGGAGCCAGGGCCAACCCACCCCTTCTGTCGTTTCCCGAACAGAATTGGCATTCAAATTTGCGTACACCTTGACGTCCACATCCATAACAAAACCGAATTCTAGGTTCAGAACATTCGTAGTAACCATGTCCTGACTGACGACAATTCCAACAGGTAAGCTTCGAATTAAAAGAAGAGACATTACCAGACCGAGAATAATTAGGCCTACCAGAATAGGATGAGTAATTATTTCTGAAATTCTGATGAATAGGAGCTCTAGACCCGCTGTCAGAAGACCATGACAAAACTTCTTCCAGCTTCTTACATTTTTCAGTAAGATCAGCAATCGAGGGAATATCTGTAAGTGCCAGACTAGAATGGTACGATGGCAACAAATTTCTCTTGATAATCCTGACAATATGAGGTTCAGAAAGAGGAGCCTCCAGACGTTTACACATACTAACAATCTCATTAATAAAAATTGTAACTTTCTCCTGTGGAGCTTGTTTACGAGACTTGATTTCGTCAAGGAGATTATCCTCATAGTTATATGGAAGAAAATCTGATCTGAGTTTGGCAACTAACTCTTGCCAAGAAGCAAAACTACCTCGGTTATTGAGGTACCAAGTAAAAGCTGAATCTTTAAATAAATCGGCAGCAGAAGAGTAACACTCTTCCTCACTGTTACCACGTGCTATACGCAGACATTCTACCTTCTCTAAGAAACTAACAACGTTCTCATTATCTTGACCTGAAAAATGCACACCCCATTTATGAATAGGAGCAGACTTAACAAAAGGAAACGAGTTGACTGGAACACTAGCATTATGAGGAGTTGACTGTGCCTGGGGAATCACTTTACAATTGTTCTCGGACGCGACTAGTTCACGTTCGAGACGCATCGCCACGCCCCTTATTTTTCCCGTTGGCCCCTCCCTGACCTGGAAATCCCTAATCTATACTTTAGAAAGTATAAAAGTAGGCGATTTTCAGGTCAATCAGTTCAGTCCTTCACGGGCTCTCCGAGAGCTTAGTGCTCTCGGGGCTCTGCTTTCTTTTTAGCTTTTTCCCATACTCTGTGGCTGAGATGTTATTCTACTGCAACCTGGTATTTTTATTTCGACTTTACCTTTGTCATGTAAGAAATATCTTGCCTTTTTCAAGGCAAGATACCAGAAGAAAACATTTACGAATCCATACCCCGCAAATGGATTCAAGTAGAGGGGCTTTCGTCGACGTTTCCGAAGCCCTCTACAGAGCACACGGTGGTACAGAAGGTGGCAAGACCCTTTCCATTTACCCCGAGGTGACATGGCGCCCAACAAAATGGATTATTCCGATCCCACGACCCAGCTCAACTCGCAGCAGAAGGCAGCACACCATTGACTTCAACATGGGTTGAAGTCAAGAGAAGAATGGGGAGAACCACGGAGTGTTAGCTAACACTCCGACATCGAGGCCTTCTGCAGACCGGATGCCTTCGACGTGCAGGCGCCTTTGACGAGCCAGTCTTCTTCGAAGTTAGAAGCCCCAGATGCCGATGAAAGTCCCGGAGTAGACCCAGTCATCGCCCCCCTACCGAAAGTGGTTGGACGACCACGTAGGCTTCGGCACACTGGTACCCTACGAAACCCCGTCGGATATGGCAGATGGGATCCGGACGACCGAGAAGAAGACGAACCCGTCGAAGAAGTTGGTACACCGATCGAGGATGGACCTGTAGGAGCCGGAGATGCCGTCAACACCACCGACCTCTCTATTAGTGCTGTGCTGTGAGTTCAAAGACATTTTTTTTTACTTTATTTACATTTTCATGTATTTTCTTTGATTTCACGCATTTTATGTATTTTTCTTACCATTGTAAAATTTTGGTATTCAATAAATTTTTTTTTCCCAGCCACAGAGTCTCCAGAGGAGGGGGGATGTTCTCGGACGCGACTAGTTCACGTTCGAGACGCATCGCCACGCCCCTTATTTTTCCCGTTGGCCCCTCCCTGACCTGGAAATCCCTAATCTATACTTTAGAAAGTATAAAAGTAGGCGATTTTCAGGTCAATCAGTTCAGTCCTTCACGGGCTCTCCGAGAGCTTAGTGCTCTCGGGGCTCTGCTTTCTTTTTAGCTTTTTCCCATACTCTGTGGCTGAGATGTTATTCTACTGCAACCTGGTATTTTTATTTCGACTTTACCTTTGTCATGTAAGAAATATCTTGCCTTTTTCAAGGCAAGATACCAGAAGAAAACATTTACGAATCCATACCCGCAAATGGATTCAAGTAGAGGGGCTTTCGTCGACGTTTCCGAAGCCCTCTACAGAGCACACGGTGGTACAGAAGGTGGCAAGACCCTTTCCATTTACCCCGAGGTGACATGGCGCCCAACAAAATGGATTATTCCGATCCCACGACCCAGCTCAACTCGCAGCAGAAGGCAGCACACCATTGACTTCAACATGGGTTGAAGTCAAGAGAAGAATGGGGAGAACCACGGAGTGTTAGCTAACACTCCGACATCGAGGCCTTCTGCAGACCGGATGCCTTCGACGTGCAGGCGCCTTTGACGAGCCAGTCAGACAGAGAAGTATAACGAGCATAGGCAGTATCACTAGAAGAACCAACAAAAGAATTAATTTTGACCACCAGATCTGCAATAGTAACCTCTATTTCAGCAATCTCATCCTTAAAATTAAGATGGGAAGCTGACAGAACAGCGAAACTCCGATTTGATGAAGTTTGCTTCAATGCACCACGTAATACTACCCTTTTCTTTTCCACCGTTGTCAAAGACGGATCATTTAAGTGACGGACTCTCAACTCATACTCTAATTCAGGAGCTAACAGATGCTCTACCTTGAACGCAGACATATTACACAACTGAGAAATATACGAGAGAATGAGTAAAAGTAGGTAAGTTTAACTTACTCTCTGTCCTCAAATTAATATTCTGAAGGGATACCTATACCAGTAATGTTTAATTGTTTTGGTCCAGTTATGAAATCCAATGACATATACTGCTACAACACCCTAAGGAACCTAAAATTTCAAAAAACTGTTATTTCGAGATAGTGACTCAACTTATTGGCTACTCTGGACTTGTAAAATATGTGAAATAGTTAACTTTAGTTATTTAAATTTTTAATTAATTTATTATTAATCTAAAATTGTTATTTAGTCAATCAAAAACAAAGCAATTTATTCAGTCTACACAGTATATAGCAAAACAAGTCGATTTAAGATATAGATATAAGGTAATGTCCAAAAAAAAAAACAAAATTGAAAAACAAAACTAAACGTTAAAATGAAAATCTAAAAGCACAACCAGTGAAAACCACAACAACCCAAGATCAAAATCAAAAGTTAAAGGAGATATATATATATTTTTTTTAAGGCAGAAGTGGAAAAGAAGCCACACGTTGGGTCTAGCCAATTGAAACGCTCAATACTCCGGGAGTATTGGATTTTAGGAAGTGTAGAACTTCCAAATTTCAGAAGAACTGAAAGAGAAGTGATGAAAAAAAATACTAAAAATAGGGCTAAGCTCAGAGGAACAAATTTAAATGGCCAAAGAGACACTAAATCTCAAGTGAGTGTTCGGGCTAGCTTCAATGCACTGGATTGTGGCTTTAAAGATATAAACAACAATAACAAGAGATAATGAGCTAATGAGACAAGAAAGAAATGAGACCTGGTAATATCAAACGTGATACAACTGAAGAAGGTCACTGGGAATAAATTTATAGAAAGAGAACAATAAGAAGAGAAAAGAAGGGCGCCAACTCAACGATAGTTGAGGTTTTGAAAGTAACAAATGAATCTGGAGATAATACTCTGAAATCCAAAAATACTAAATAATAATCTTGTTTTGCTATGTTATATACTGGTTAGTAGAACTGAAATAAAACTCAAAATAGCAATAATAAATATATTTATAAACAGGTATATAGGTATATGTGTATAAACAATTTACATATAATGCAAAAACTAAATAACAGTGGTAGTGGGTGTGTAAAGATATAATAGGACCTAATAGCCCCTTAACAAGCGAATAGTCACTACCACTGGCCAAATAAAGTTTAAAATATTAGTATACAACAAGAATAGTCCGTATGATAGCCAAAGTCTTAACACACAAAAGGTAGTAATTTAACTTAAAATAGTTCTACTAATATGAGAAATAATTACTGTATTGTACAGATATCAACAATGATAACTCTGTTACAATTATCATATTATATCCAAAAAGTGAGTCTTCAATACTCTTTATATAATGTTTAAAAAAAAAAACATATGAAATTTATTTCCCTTTCCCCAATATCAAAATTGTATTAGATTAACAAAAATATTATATCAAAAAAAATGAGTTTGGTCAGACTCTGTATATCCTAACTAAAACCTAATAACACCTGAAGTGTCCTTTTTCCCTCCCCGAATATTTTATAATTAAATTATCAAAAATTAAATGTTCACCTTGTCATATGCATATGCAGAGGGTATACTACTAAATAGGAAGTAACAAAAATTAAACAATAAATAGATAGTAACACAAAAGTCAAATAGTTAAACAACTTATCTTTACAGCATTATAAGTCCATAGGAAAAACTCCTCTTGGCACAGTTACATCAGTTTATGGCTGTAAAGACGAATCCTGGGCACAAAACCACAACCAGTCACTGGTCTCTGGGTGACAGCAAAATCCACGGGTTACATACACAAGTTGCTAATTAGTTTCAGGATTCAAAGTTACTAATATCCTCGAGGGAATATTCTGAAAAGAATATCCTCAAGTGAAGTGAAATTAATATTTTCACGTGACGGAATCTAAAATGATTATTTAATTTAATAAATATGTAATTTAATAGGTGTAGCAGCATGGATTGACTGCACCAAAACAAAACATCAAAATATCAGGTATGTAATGTAAGCGTAGCAAGTGAGTGAGAAGTTGGAATAAAGGGATAATGGAACAATAAGTAGCATAGAAAAGATAATAATTATTCGAGATAATTATCATATATTCCAAATTAAATAAGGGATAATTAATACAGTTAACTTATACATTTAAATTATACAAGTATAACAATTGACCTAGTTATTGCATTGTTTGATAATTGTTTAAACGTATAAAAAGCACGAAACATCCGTGACCCAAATAGGCAGCAATAATACCAAAACTGCAACTCAGCGAACCTACGACCTTGTACTAGAACCGGCGTTGAAAGTACGACCACAATAAAACAAGAGAAAACGACGGACGCCGGGCAGTTTAGTAATGGGTAGTTGGTAATGGGCAGTCAGTAATAGCGGGCCACCGTGACTGGGACGCGACAGCGTCCCGTACGCGAACAGTACGAGACAGTCGGTGATTTTCCGGGGGCCGGGTACCTTCTGTCAGAATTCGCGTGTAGTCCGGTTATTGTGGCAGCTCGAAAGTTCGCAACCCTCAACTGACCGAGTTCCAGAAGACTGAACGTGTCGTGGTTGAAGCCCTAATATACACATAAGGTAACAGATTTCAATATACATAACCCTATTAATTATATTAGTTGTACTGTCAAACTCTTTCACTCTCTTGCTCTCCTTATTTACAGGACCATTACCCCTAGAAGTTCCTTAATCCCCTTAATCCCTTACCACTTTCGTAAATCTGTCACAGATATTACATTGGTGACAGCGGTCCCGGTTTGGGGAATTTCGGTAAATAGGGATAATTAAGTCACTTCTTCAGTATCCTTGTAAACTTTTGCAAGTTTTGTAGCTATAAGAAGCCTTCATCGTTTCATTTCGCCAGTGACATTCCAATTTTTTTCTTCTCTTTCCTAAGACGACAACAGATTAAAGAAACAGTGAGGTATCCAGTAAATATTGTGTGGAGTGCAGGACTCCCTTTTCTGGAAGAAAATCCTTTTTCTCTCTTTGTTATATAAACTTGTTAGTGGTTTTACACAAATTATTCGTATATAGTAGATTTTTTTGTCTTGTATCACTAGAAAATGACCTCATATCAATTTTAGGATATATGTGAAGAGATGACAAGTACAAATTTTTTCAAAAATACATACTAACACATTATATGATGTTCTCTATATAATTGTTTTTTTAATTACCATAATATTGCACTAAAAATATAAACTATACTGTCTAACAGAACATATGATACAATATGGCATAACAGAGATTATTAATTATCAGTCGATTATATGAATTGGATATAATTATTCGAAGAAATAATAAATATATTGTTTACTAACTAGTTGAATATAAAGAATTTAAGTTAGTAGGTCAAGATCAAGTTCATTTGAGTGTACGAGTTTATTGCTTTCAAAAAGCGCAAAATATAAATTCTTTAAATATTGTTTTACTAACTAACGGTTTACATAAATATTATCAAATTCTTTTGTTTAATGTATCAAGTGAAAGTGAAATATGATACTATTTGCTCGACGTGTGTTTGAAAAATATTAAACGCGCTTGGTCAAGTAATATACACTGAAAAATTAGATATGACTTTGCTAAAGTAAATTGGGATATTTGGATTTATAAATAACGTTCAATTCGTAAAAAGGAAAAGAATGTAATAGAGTTTAATTTTTCAAAAAAAAATTAATACTAACACCTTATTTGATATTTGACTATTGATTGATTGATCGATTATTATTGATTTGATTATTTGATATTTCCTACAGATTTTTTTTTAAGTTCGGCAGCGTATATTTCTAAGTTCTTTTATTTTAACAAAAATTTAATTCTTTATACAATTGTTGGTTAACTTCATAAATTGGCACATCATACGGAGATGGACATATAAAAGAGGGAAAAGAATTAATGGAGCTTTGGAAGATAATTGACCGTGGTGTCAGAAAATCTTTTTACTATTTTGGAATGATTTCCACGAACATATAAGTTCGGGAATGGATGCATCGCAAGGAAAATGCATAGAAGCACGTAAAGTGGTTCTTTGGGCTGTGGCCCATATTATTTAAAGAAAATTTAAATGGGATGTGGCGTCAGAAAATCTTTTTCACTATTTTGGAATGATTGCCACGAACATATGAGTTCGGGAATGGATCCATTATGGAACAGTCAAGATTTAGTAGACGTGGAGCTTGCACCGCAAGGAAAATGCATAAAAGCACGTAAAGTGGTTCTTTGGGCCGTGGCCCATATTTAAAGAAAATTTGAGTCGAATCGTTGTCAACGTCCTATAGTGATTTTGACAAACGTAACTTGCGAGACACTAGGAGACTTGCTACAGTTTATGTACCAGGGAAAAGTGCAAATTGGACAGGAAGACCTAAGGGCCTTCACTGAAGCGGCCGAAGTGTTGCAAAGGCAAGGACTCGCTGGAGACGGAAAAAGGTATAATAGTTTACTATCGTTTAAAGTAACTTTGCTACAGTTTATGTACCAGGGAAAAGTGCAAATTTGACAGGAAGACCTAAGGGCCTTCACTGAAGCACTGAATCGTTGCTAAGGCAAGGACTCGCCGGAGACGGAAAATTTATAGTTAGTTACTATCGTTTAAAGTAACATTATAGAGACTTTGGACGAAGAAGGTACTCTGAATGTAGAAGAGTTTAAGCCAGTTTCTTTGCTTGAGACAATTGAGACATTAAAGAGACTTTGGACGAAGAAGGTACTCTGAATGTAGAAGAGTTTAAGCCAGTTTCTTTGCTTGAGACAAAGAAGCAGAACCATAAAGAAGAAAGAATAATCAGCGGACACAGGTGGGATGCCACAGAAATAGAGGCGTATCTCACACAGCATACGAAGATGAATACAGTGCCAGAAGTATATTTTTTTACAGGAATGTGGGCAAGCTGTATATGGTTCGACCTTAAGGGGTGAAACTTACGTCAAATAGGAG